TCTTTACGACCCACTAACATTCCGCTTGCGACCCACCATGAACAAATCTTTATTTCAGTTTATTAAAAATACTTCATTAAAAAGTATGATTTTTTGTATGTGAAATACTTGTAATGTTAACTGAAAGACTGTCAAATTTCGTGAAGGTATACACATCATATTGAAAGTTAGAAGTATTAAATCTATAATTTAGTATAAAGACTTTACAACGATCTCGAGCGCTCACATGTTTGCGTATTGGGCGAACCGCGCATAATCGAGTTTTCCATGTTCGGCAGATAATTGGTTGCTTTTATTTTTATCTGTATAAGCAAATCCGTGTGGACGAACCCGCGTTGTAGGAGGGTTTACTGTAAACATCTGCGAACCTACATTATCAACGTAGTTGGATTTTGAAAGCAGTTTAGGTTCAAAATAAATAAATTCCAAAATATATGCCCTTGGTGGCTCAGTGGTAAGTTTGAGGAATTATAACGCTAAAAATTGGGTTTCAATAACCGCAATGGACACAGCACAGATAGGTTCTCTAGTCAGTCAGCAGTAAGTTTACGGACTTACAAGATCAAAATTAGGCGTGCGATTCCTCCCGGTGGACATAGTACAGATAGCCTATTGTGTAGCTTTTCAAAATAAAAAAACAACACCAACCAAAATATTTATGAAGCATATTTATAATAAATATAATTGACCAATATAAATTGGCGAATAAAAAATACAGACAAGAAAAAATCAATGAACTTATATTTGACTGGATTCACTGAGCATAAACAATGTAGTTCGGTTTAATAAATTAAATTATCAAATGATATGGTTCTTGGGATTTTGGTAACAAAAATAAACAGCGAAATAACGCAAGCTTAACTGATGAATAAGACTCTGATCCTTTGATACTCTCCTCGTCATCTATTGGTCACTAGAAAAACAAGAATGAAATTTTGTAAAGTTAAGTTAAGTAAAATAAATCGTTAGGGCAAAATAACTAAAGTAAAGAAATGTTATTCCTATGAACATATAAATATTTCTATTCTAATAAGACTACCAAAAATTAACGTTTGTTTATTGAATTTATTATAATATTTTGTATTAATATTAATTTGATGTATTATTGTATATGGCGCAGAGACTTGGACAATTAATATAAGTATAGAAAAAGCTGAAAGTTTTTGAAATTAGGACATTTAGATCTCTTACAAGAATATCATGGACAAAGAGCAAAATAAATGTGGAGTTTTAAAAACTAAATTCATAACATTTATAAAAAAGAAAAAGGAGCTTATTAGCCCATCAAGGATGTTTCTTCCAGCTCCCAACTGTAACCACTCCTCACTACTCTTGTATTCATCCAATCTTTTCTTGAACTCAGTTTAAATTTTCTGCCTCCACCATTCTTGATAGCAGCTGATTCCAAAAGCCAACCAACCTGTTTGAAACTTAATACTGTCTAAACTACAGACGACTCCTATGCTGCCAAAATTTGAATTTGTGACCTCTTATCCTATTGTTTTCACTGCTAAAAATGCATTTATAGTTTTTATTTTAATAGATGAAAATATACTCTTTAAAGCTTTTTTAAATTTTTATTAGAGATTACGATTTAATTAAACGCCGAAAGCCGGCAAAATATTGGAAAGCCAGTAGACTTTGATTCTTCTTCAATAAGGAAGCATATTGTGCTAATATAATAAGTAGGCAAACAGACCAGCCTTGACTTTTCTCTATAATTCTGTTATTTACAGACATTGTTTTCTTTGCATTAAACTCTGTGTCTTTTGTATTTGATACTTATTTATAAACCCTGTATCGCTTAGTTATAGGTCATACCTCAAGAAGACAGACCAATGTTTTATCGAAATATGTTGTATGTTCCACCATAAATAAATCTCTTCACTATGCTTATAAATCGTTGTTTGCCTACTTATTATTAGCCATTAGGCCTGGTAATTGTGATAAAATCAAGTCATCTGCAAATTGTATTTCCCACAATCATTTTAATCTGCCCATTGCGACTCGAACTCAGAGATGTGTAAAAAAAATAGCATGTCTTATCTATCTTTTGTCTTCCACAAGTCATTGCCCACTGACGGGTTTTAGTATTGAACGAGAGCTTAATTATTTGATTATTATTATTTTAAAATACTTCTTTTTTTAAGTAAGTTAGATTGAATAGTCCTGCGGAATACTATTTTACAAGGACATTTTCTAAAAGGTTGGGCCAATAGGCGCTGACCTCCCTCATGCACAGAACGGCTACCTCGCAATATCCCCCCAGTGGCACAGCGGCATGTCTGTGGACTTACGCTAGAAACCGGGTTTTGATACACGTGGTGGGCAGAGCACGGATAGCCCATTGTGTAGTTTTGTGCTTAAATACAAACAAACAAAGCCTCGCAATAAATAGAAGCTCATTTATTACCAATGGATTTTTGACTGTATACTGCACTGTTGATTTCTCATCCATTGTACCCTGTTGTATTAATTGAGCGAAAACTACACGCACACAAATGTATATTTTGATGATAATCTAGGCCTCTTCGCATTTATTAATATTGTTGCGTCATCGAGATCATGTGATTCTCACGCTCTCTACTTTCTAGAATTATCCTGTACTTTGGCGAATGTTCTAGTTCTTACTAGATATAGGG